GTCACCGTCCCTGCAGGTATTTAAAAGACGTGTTGACGTAGCGCTTAGGGATATGGTTTAGTGGTGGACTTGGCAATGTTAGGTTTACGGCTGGACTCAATCTTAACGGTCCTTTCCAACCTAAATGATTCTATGATTTGGCAGGTGCTGCTCCATAGAAGAGGAACAGCTTCTGTTTATAGCTATATACCTAGGGACTGGAGTTGTAAAGTAAGGGAGGAGAAGAAAGCATGTAGGATTTTAGGACCAAGTTTCACATTTCACCAGCATCCTTTAAATGCCCTGGCTTTGCCGTGCCACTGCTCCTGAGTAATCCTGTTGAGTTCAGGTCTGTTCAAGTCAGTGGTAAACAGGATCCAAGCCATAGCTTATTAGCTGTGAGTACATGTTTCTCATGATGAGACCATTGATCTCGTGGCTGGCTAAATGCTGTGCATGTGCTGATAAATTGCTGTCCTGTGTTACGAAATATTGGGTATCAGTTGAGGTAGAGTAGTTCTGTGCATATCTATAGATATTCTGATAGGATAGTCATTAGTCTGAATGCGATCTGTGAGAATGAGAAGTACTATAAGCTAATAATACTATTTTTTTTCAGCATTTTTTAAAAGCTTCATCTTCCTATCACATAATGATGAGAAAATATATGGTGTGAGTTAAATGCAGTTTTGGGAACTATCAGGAAAGCTAGCAATGTAACTGCTTGGTTTTTTTTTTCTTTTTTTCTTTTTCCTTCCTTCTCCCTCAAAAGATGAAGTTATAACTTCACATGGTGCAATTGAACCAGATAAGGACAATGTCCGCCTAGAGCCATATTCTTTGCCACAAGGGTTTATGTGGGACACATTGGATCTTAGCAATGCTGAAGTTGTAAGTAAAACAATTTTTGTATGTATCTAGAATCATTGAAGTTTATTCTGACTGATGTGTGTGGATAAATCTTTGGATTTTTTTGTGTGTGTTTCCAGCTGAAGGAGTTATACACACTGTTAAATGAGAATTACGTAGAAGATGATGATAATATGTTTAGGTTTGATTATTCACCTGAATTTCTTCTGTGGTGAGTAGCAAGTTCCACATTCTGCTCTGGCTGGAGTGCAAAGAAGGGTGTTTTTATTACATCTTCTTAGGCAGTAATTTGTAATTATTTCTGTCATCAATTCTAGGGCGCTACGTCCTCCGGGCTGGTTACCCCAGTGGCACTGTGGGGTTAGAGTGTCTTCAAACAAAAAACTGGTAGGATTCATAAGTGCCATCCCTGCAAGTATTCGTATTTATGACAGGTAAAATGTACCATTACTTTTGTATTTGTAAAAGAATAACACCATGAAACAAATCTTAAACTGGTATCCATTGCCATAGAGAACTTAAAAAGAGAGGAGGATGCTCACTGACCATAAAGAGTCAGAAGAATCCTATGTATGTAGGATTTTTACTCTCTTCCCCGCCCCCCCCCCAAAAAAAAGCTTGTGGGCTCCTTACAATGAAGACCAGTAATACATATTCAAGGAATTTTCATATTGACGGATGATACAGATAATGACATAGAATTTTCTGGCCCTACTGGAAAGTATTTAAAGGATAGTCAGTCAACTGGACTTCCTTGGCCAGGTCTTCATACACTGACAATCATGAAGTATTATGATACCACGTAGCATGTGCTTGGATGCCATTCTGCATCTTAAAGTAAGGCAATTGGTTAAGTCTCGATGGAGCTCTGAAAAAGGAGTGTTGCAAACACAGCTTGCATATTGCACAATTTGCCGTTGCAGTTGCAATATCATATATTAGTATTTGTTGCAGATGTACTTTGTCACTTTATCTTTACCTCAAATTATTCTGTCACAACATGGAAAACTACAATTATGCAAATGAAAATACGCAATGTGGAACTTTTCTTAACTTTTCCACTATTTAATATCCTTTTAGTGTGAAGAAAATGGTAGAAATCAATTTTCTGTGTGTCCATAAGAAACTGAGATCTAAACGGGTAGCACCTGTACTGATTCGGGAAATAACCAGAAGAGTAAACCTGGAAGGAATTTTTCAGGCTGTTTACACTGCTGGAGTGGTACTCCCCAAACCCGTGGCCACTTGCAGGTAACCTAGGTGATGTTCATAATAATATTGGTTCCTATAGCAGTCATTTTATGTAATTGGCTAGAAACAATAAAAGCGTAAAATTCAAAGAAATTAAATGTTGTGGCCTTGACTAACCTGAAGGCCTGAGTGTTTGTCAGGATGGGTTTTTTGGTGTCTTTCTGTCTGTCTGTCTTTCTGTCTTCCCTCCCAGTGCCTTGGATAGAACAGCTTATCAGACTGAAATCTAATTTTGGGTTTGTTTATCGTACCTTAAATAGACTAATAGATGTTTCTGTTGACCTTCTGGTGGAAGCCATGCTGGCAATGACAACATTGTATACCTGTGTTTTTCAACAGCCTGTTTCCCTGCTGGGACACTTCCCAGTTGACCTGGTTACTTGCCAAAGATGGCAGAGCATTTCTGGGAATTGTATGATTTGCTTTTTTGAAATACTTTCATCTTTCCTGGAGAAGAGAGGACTTGATCAGCATTTGATAAAGATGGGAAAACTATTACATGAGAAGAGTTGTGTGTAATCAAGTATAATTTCATTTGCTTGGAATGGATTATATTTCTACTGGGAAAAGTTCAGTTCCAGCAGTATTAGTTCAGTTGTCTATCCTTGTGGAGGACAGGGTACTTTTTAATTTGAAATTGTGTTTCTACCTATCAACACCAAAGATCCTGTAAGGTTCTGTAAGGAAGGATGGAAAAAAAAAGCCATGCTGTGTTTAGAGTAACCAGGGATGTTCTGTTGCACAGCGATCTCCTAGGAAGAGGAGATCTCCTTCAACAAACTGCTTAGGGTCCTGTCTGTACAAGTATGGTGAGATTGTCAGGGCTATGGCAAGTACTAAAATGTTTAGCCCTGTAATTACTCATTGTGTAATAAAAAGCATTTGCTTAGATTCAAAATATGGTGATAGCAGGCCTGTTTAAAAGTTATTGCTTGAGTATAGTTTTTCCTTATCTTTTGTTGCTCAAGCTTCTTACAGGCATAGTACAGGCTTGCTTAGAAACAAATTTGGAGAGGAGAAGGAGCAATGTGAGAAAGTAGGGAAATGGATGCAAGTAAAGCTGACACTTAAAATACTGTTTCATCTCATTATTAATTTTATTTCCAGGTATTGGCATCGATCACTGAATCCCAGAAAACTGGTGGAGGTGAAATTTTCACATTTGAGTAGAAACATGACTCTACAAAGAACAATGAAGCTCTACAGACTTCCTGATGTAAGCAGTATGACTTCTAGAGAATCCCCATGGTTATTGTGAGGCCCAAAATAACCTTCCATCTGTCTCTGACAGCACAGGCTTTTCTGTGGAAAGACAGTGCGTGCAGCAAATTAAAAAAAAAAAAAAAAAAAAAAAAATCTTTGGTTGATGAAAAAGACCTTAAGGGCTATACTGAACAGAAGAAACTATTGCTGGAAATGTAAATCTGTATATGGAGAAAATATAAATTCTGACCTAGAAGCCTTAAACAAACAAAGAAAAAAAAGAAGCCTTGACTTCATAAACATGTGGGATTGAGTTGAAGCTGCATAAGACTATTCTCGGTATGATGAATCTGACAAAACATTACTGGAACAGAAAATTAACAGTTCATGTCTTAAAATTCTCAGAGAAGTCCATCAGAAAGTTGGCCAAGTACAGTGGGATTGTTGATTCCTCTCTGATTCACAGCTTTTTCTGTTCTGTCGGAGAATGTTGTTCTTCTGCAATGAGCAGGCTAAGCAAAAGCCACCTCAGTATGTTGTGTGCTGTTTATTTGCATGGTCTAGCAAAAACAAACAAACAAAAAAGTATTCTGGCATAGCTAGGTTAGTTAAAAATGTTTTTTCTCATGTTTGCAACTAATAGTTAGGCTGGCAAAAAGTCTTAGGATGCATTTCCATGACAGGGCAAGTCACTGTAAGTAGTCTGAGATCTACTATTAAAAAATCTCATTGCTTTAATTAATAGCCTATAGAAGCTAGGCTAAGCTTTATGATTGAAAACAATTTCTTTGCTTGTAAAAGCTACCTTTCTGTTTGGAGGGATTGCAGAATATCCTTTGCCTATACCATATCAGTAAATCTTTTTTTATTTAAACAACCCTCCCTTTTGGTTAAAAAAAAACCTTTTTTCCTCACTCATAGTACTTTGTAATGATTTATTTGACTTTGGAGAATTGTGTCTGTTGGTTATATTTAGCTTGATGCTGCAGGTTCTTTTACTACTTACATATTTGAGTAATACACTAAGCACTCCTCTGTATACAGCACGTGCCACGGCTTGATCTGAACTCCTGCTGCTGTCAGAGAGACTTGTTTTCCTGTGCTGCCTGCATGCTACCTGTGCCTGCACATGCAGGTTCTCCCTTGCGTGCAGGGCAGCAGTTTTCAGAGCTTGAGAATTAATAACCAAATTAATTAGGTTTTAATCTTGGAGAGCTAAATATAGCTTCCATCAAATATTGAAGACATTTTTAATAGTCTAAAAAAGTGCAGTAGACAATTTTAAATATAGGTTTTGGTGGCAACTCTAGTACTGTTTCTCATGGAAACAATACAGGAAAATAATAGTTTAAAGAATAAGGGTCTTACTTACAGTACAAAAAGTGTAACTACAGAGAATCATTAGAAACAACAGCAGTTGTACCCTGATCATCTTTCTTTATCATAAAACCCAGATTTCAACAGAAAAATAAATTATGGAAAACAAAGAATATATCATATCTCATTCATAAAATATAGCTAAGGCAAACATACTGTACAGACATGTGCAAATAGAAAATAGGTGCTTTGAAAATCAACTTTTAAAACTAAGTGATGTAGGAGTCCATATGCCTCAGCTGTTTGTTTATTTTTATATTTGACTTGGGAGCTTCTCCCATGGAAAATAAAGATTTAATCTTTGTGCTAATATTTTCTCTTTAGGTCTTATGCTTTGGGGTTCTTTTTTAGCTTTTTTCCTAAGAAAGGGTTTAAGTTGAGGATCTTTATCCTCAGTTTCAGACTGTTATCATAAACAGTACTGTCACACAAATTTGTTCATTCAGGCCACACTGTCCTGTCCCTCAGCACCAAACACTGTTTCTTGTATTTTAACCTGTTTTCTTAGCGTCCTTGGAATATCATTGCTACTGGGAGCTCATCTCCCTTTAAGAGGAATTAATCATTCCTAATCACTTGAACAGTCTGAATTAAAAAGGTTTTCAGAAATAATAAATACTGTAACTAATAAATACCACCCTCACTGAAGGCTGTGTTTGTGCATGTACCTATAGATATAAAAAATAAAGGTTTTTTTCTAAGTGTTTAATCTCTTGAGCAAGTAGTTTTCTGAAAGAGGTAAATTTTGGCTCTGTTTAGAATAAGGACAGGAGTATGTTTGTCTCTGTATGTCTTTTCATGACTGATTGAGATCCTGAGCCAGGATCATTGCATGAATATATGCCCAGTGCAGCTTGATATCTGGAGCAGAGAAACAAATTTTAGCCCAGTTCTGTACACCTTCCCTCACTCTGGGGCTGCAAATAATCATTTACTGGTGGCATTCTGAGCATTACTGGGGGATAAAGATGTTCCAGCCCAGCTGCTTTTCCTCCCATCCTGCTCCAATGTATGGCTTTAGAAGAGAGATGAAGGCTAGGAGGGAGCCGAAATGAACCTTTCATGTTGTAGTTCATAGGTTATGAATAAAATGTGGCGTAGGAAGCGTCATGTTGATGAGTCAGGTGAATACCCTTATGGATTCAGGGCATTTAAAAATCTAGATGATGTGCTGTTGTGGAGGCAAACCATAGTCCCAGGCTGCTCCGGAAAGGAGAAAGATTAAAATGTAATACACAGGCCAGAGCTGTGGCAAAATGTGCCTTGATTTTTCATCTGACTGCTGACTCCCAGAGTATGTGAATAAATACCTCCCCCAGAATAATGCCTTTTGAGCAGAGCATAATCAGCTACACTAATTTCAGTCTTCCAGTAATCAAGTCTCTACCTGGCTGCTCTTGCAATTGACTTTGCTATGATTAATGTGATACGTGCCCAAGTATGTAGCTCAGACAGATGAAGCAGGATAAATGAGCTCTGAAGAGAACAAGTCTTAGCCTCCCTAAAAGGAAATATTTAGGAAAGCTAAAAAAAGCTGGGGAGAAGACTTTAATCACCTTTGCTTGTTTAAACATTAATTGCATAGTACTGGAAAGCAATTTTTTCTTCTTCCGATGTTTATAGTCAATAACTTTATCTGTTAAAATACTGTAGGTTTTTAATTTCAGGCAGCTGTAAGTTATGAGAAGCTTTCTTGTTAACAGAATAGCAGCTGTGCCTCTATTGAAAGTTGAGTTAGCAAGGGAGTTTGCAAGTGTTAAGAATGGGTGGAATTTTTTTGTTAAATAATTTCTAATTAAACTTTATCAGCTGACTTTGGTTTATAGCTTGACTGTAATTTTCATAAGTTTGAATCACAAGTGTTCTTGTCTTCAGATTAATTTCTGATATGCAAGTTGCTCTATGTTTTGTTTCTGTGTCTGGGCCCTAAGTAGTTTAGAAGAAGATAAGAAATAAAGACTGACCTAAAAAAAAAAAAAAATACAAAATGCGTGAAGTCTAGGCTGTTGGCAATGGTATCTCTTTCTCTGGAGAAATGAAGTCGTTTCAATAATGAAATATAAAGATTGAAGTGCCCCAGACTGTCTCAATAATTAGAAGAGAGGGAATTCTGATTGAAAGCTGTTTGTAAAATAGCATAATGAATTAGGTGGCTGGAGTAAAGTAGGCTAATAATGAATGCATTATAGCAAGTGGAGTGACTCTGCAACCTACTTTCAGCCTTTGCTGTGTGTGCAGTTTTCCTTTCAACATCTTAATATTTATTTTTCTTTTCTTACGATAAGGCCACAAAGACTTCAGGTTTGAGACCAATGGAACAAAAAGATACTAAAGCAGTACAAGAATTAATCAACACTTACTTGAAACAGTTTAATCTTGCTCCTGTAATGGATGAGGAGGAGGTAGCCCACTGGTTCCTGCCTCGGGATCACATTATTGACACTTACGTAGTAGAGGTAAAACATGCCCTAACTACTTCATGAATGTATATGTGAATGCCACCATCAAGTTTTTGAAATGCAGACAGTATGAAAAATGTGTGCTATAGGGAGAATTTGATATCATGATTCCAAGCTTTGTCTTTGTATTGCATTCTGTTAATGAGAAAACGTTTGGTTGTGATAAACTGCAGTGCTTTTATAATAGAATATTTTAAAGAAGAATTTTAAAATCTCAAAATACCACTATCTTGGAAATACTACAGCAAAGAACATTATGTATTTTAAAAACAACCCTTCCACCTGCATTCCTTCATTTTTTTCCATAGAGATACGACATGATAATAAGCAGTGGTCTTCAAATTTCCTTTTCTAGAAAAAAGGAAAAATGATACAATGACTGAGATAACAATTTGGTTTGAATTCAGTATCATTCTCTCAGGTGTCTAAGTTTCTGCCATACACCAGTTCAAAATTCTTTATTTGTAAAACCAGTTTTAGGGGCATCTGCTGGGGGAATTATGTTTTTTGATGGTCTGCTTCAGTAAAATGTTTTTTTTTCCCAGTAAAAGAGTGTGTGTGTGTATATATGTGTATGAATTTGTATACGTGTGTGTGTATATATAGATACACACATGTATATGCATGAGTTCATGTAAAATAGAGAAGTAGAAGTTAAGGTCCCTTGGTGCTGTCATGAGTTGCTGTCAACTAGGAGTTCAATTATCTTGAAAATTATAATCCTTGTCCGCTAATGAGATGGAGAGCATCATCTGTTCCTACCACTTACTCTTCTGTCCCCACCCTACCACCCCCACCCCCCAAGCTGTTCGTCACAATGCTTCTCGCAAAATACGCAGTGCAGGAATAGATTAGCTTTTGGATTGGAAATCTCCAAGGCATGGTTGGAGTAGCTGGGATAAAGCTGGTGGAGAAAGATACTCTCTTCTCTTTGAGTCCATGCTAAATCAGTTGTAGACATTGTATTTAGATAGTATTTACTTTGTTTAAAGTGTTAAGGTTATTTGAAAATGATCGCCAGTAACATCCTTAAACCTACTAGCCCCTCACAGAAGCTGCAGGTTGTGAAGCTCAGTGTTCCCACACTGCAACCTGAATTTGTGCAGGAGTCTCAGATTAATTCAGAAACTTACTGCTGCTGGAGATGAGAGGTCCTGTTCATCAGTTGTCCTTGTCCAAACTTAGCTTTCTACTTACTTTGGGTCTAGTGGGTCTAGTGCTCATTGGACTCTTCCATGGTCTAATTTAATGTATTGTCCCTCCTTCTTTCTCTACCCCCTCTTCTTCCCTCCCCCCGGCTCTCTGGGTTGGCTTTTGGCTTTGTTGGTGAGTTGAAGCCTACAGAAGAGTCCACAAGCACCAGGACCAGCATGAGTGTGCCATAGACAGTGTCATTTTAACTGAACAGCGCAGTTTTCACTTGCTTGTTTTTCACTGTCTCTTGAACTAGTTTTTCACTATACAAAATGTAGGTTTGTTAGTGCTTAAAATCTTTTTAAGACTTGTGTGACCTGGAGAAGTTAGTGTCAGATTTTTAAGTCATCTTTGTAATGTGCAGAGCTAAAACCTTAAAATACTCTGTATAATTCATGAATTAGTATTTTCATTGTCCTTACTGAATTTAGTGAGTGACTTAATAACTTTTCTGTTATTTGTTGTTAGTTTATCTCTACTACAGAATCTGTACCCACTCCAAGACAATAGCTTTTTTGCATGTGATGGGTTCAACTCTCTTACTTTTTAACGTAGAAGTACTATCAATTTAAGGATCCATCTGAGGTCCTTCATTGAGCTCAAAACAGTGGGCACCAGTTGTTCAAAACTAAAGCAAACAAGCGAGAACAAGCATTTGTGTGTCTCCTTTGCCTTATCTTCTTGGATATATCAGGAGACCCAATCAGAATAGGAGGATTGAAAATCTGGGTAGTTTTTTGTGCTTAGCATGTCAGTCATAACCCATGTAATAATTATTTTCCATTTCCTACTAATCTACACTCTTGAAGATGGTTAAACTTGATTAGGTGCGTGAAACATTAAGAAAGTTTATGTAGGACACTTTAGATTTCTGTATAAGTACCTTTTTTGATGACTACTGGTCTTATTAAAATTTCAATGTGATTTAGCACTGTTGTCTAGCAAATGGATTGTGCTTGTTGATTAATAATCACTAGACCTGATTTAAATATGCTTTGTATACCAGCACAATATTTTTTTTTTCTGTTTTTAGAAAGTTGAGAAAATTATTCCTCAATGTGAACTTCATCAGATTTACAAAATATTCTTTTAAAGATAAGTTCAATTGGAAAAAAATTTCTATACTTTTTTGGAAGTGTGCTTTGTTAGCTTTGTTTATAGCAGGCTAAGCTTGGGAAACAAGCTGAAATGCTTTGGCAATTGGTTGTTAAATGTTATTGGTGTAATAGACTGGAAAAATCTAAATGTTTGTTTCCTGTTCTGAAGTGACCATTTCAGGCTTCAGTCTCACTTTGATGTATAGATTCATGCTTGGCAAGAATTCAGTTTCTTCAAATCTTAGCCAAGATTACCTGTTACACTATAATACTTACGATGTGCAAAACTGTGCTGCATTTATTACTTTCTGTAGAACTACCATGTTAGCCTAACCAATAACTAAGCGGTTAGTCCTTATTAATTGACTTTTTTTTTTTTTGTAGGGCTCAAATGGTATTTTAACAGACTTCCTGAGTTTCTACACATTACCTTCAACAGTGATGCACCATCCTGTTCATAAAAGCCTCAAAGCTGCCTATTCCTTTTACAATATTCATACGGAGACCCCTCTCTTGGACTTAATGAATGATGCACTCATTATAGCTAAGTTGGTAAGTTGTGGGGGGTTTTTTTTCTGCTTCTTTCACAAAGATATTCTTAGGAGTGGTGGCAAGGTAAGAACCGGCAGCAATTTATCCATGCCATTGCATGCTGTTTTCTTTTACTGTCTACAGCACAGAGTGCGGTTGAGGAGACATATAAAAAATATACACATTAAAATATGAAACACTATGCTTGTTTTTCCTTTTTACTTTGAGTGATGCTAAGGAATGACAAGTGCATGAAGATCAAGTGTTTGCTTGAACAGTGTAAACGTCCAAGAGCACACTGATGACCATATTCACTAAGTACCAGAAGAATGGAAAGTACCACTAAAATAGTTTCCCCTGGAGATGAGTTAAATACATTTTGTTTGTTTGTTTAAATTATTTTTTATTTCTACAAAATGTAAAAGTTTATCTGTGCAAGCTTTATCATTTTATCTTGTTACTGATCGCTGCCTGTAAAGCTCTGTAGATGATGTCATGTTGTAGCTTTTAAGCACACCTTCATGCATGGAATTACACTGATAGATGGTTTAGTTGAGTGGAAGGGAAGAGACTATAAATGAAGTTGTAAGAATTGTAAGAGTTTAGTGCTGTCTGATGAAAAACTAATGCTCAGCCCTTAATCGTCAGGGGGTTTCATGGGAATGCAGTGCAAACACCAATGGCAGTGTAGTCTGTGGTGTGGAGCTGTGCAGGTGATGCACATCCCAGCACTCTGAATGAATTCTCAGAGACCTGTTTAACCCTGGCAATTCACAGCACTGCACAGGCTTCATCCAGTCCGTGGTATCCATTCTAGCAACCATTCCCAATACGCTGCATAGGCGTGTTTTCTGCTCCTCATGCTTGAAGCTTGCCCGTCCCAGCTGAAGTGTTGCTGCTGCACTGCTTTTGGTATTATACCTACCAGATGAGTGCTCAACGCAAGCAAGTGCTAGCTGTGCTGCAGCCGACCATGTTCGGAGCCTGCATGTGGTGCAGGGATTTCTGTGTTGATCCTGTATGAAACCAGTGACGGTCCGCAAAGACTTTGGGCTTTATGAAAGCAGCCACATAGCCTTCAACTCATCTGTCTCATGTTCGCGCAGCATTGCAGCTGAGCTGATATCTACGAAGTGAACTGCTTGCTGAGGCTTGTTGACCTATAAACAGTATTGAGTTGAATACTATTTGGCAAGGAAAACTCCTGGATAGTCATGGGGAATATAGAACCCCATTATTCCGGCTCCAGAATAATACCAAAGGAAGTTCAGAGACAGACTTTGAAAGGTGTTAAGATATATGAAGATACAGGAAGGTGGCTAGTATAATTTTCAGAGATGGCTAAAAATACTAGTACGACTTATCTTAAAGTGGAAAAAGGAATGAACATTGGTCTCCATTTGAAGTGCGGCATAGGGAGCTGAGTGGCTGGCCATTCACCATTCACTTACCTGGATGGAACAGATAAAGAAGCAGTTATGTGATTATGTGATCTAACCACAAGGCTTTGCACCTTCCTCTGTCTACATTTCTTTCTGAATGTGATGTACGATTCTTTTCTTTTCTTTTAAATGGATCATCATATAGTTAGAATACTGGGATTTAGATGCCTGTGGATTTCCAAAGTACCTGCTGGGCCTGCCTGCATCATTAGATGCCTAATTACGTTTGCAGATCTGGCACTTGGACTTTTAGATGAGGAGAGGTGAGGCAAGAGAAGAGAAATGATAAATGCACTCCTATTCGCAGTTTTTTGTTTGGAGAGGAGCGAGTGAAAGGCTGGGTGGGTGTTTGGCTCTTGGCTGGGGACAACCCACTGCAGTCCCTTCTGTACTTTTACTCCCAAAGAATGCATTTTGGGGTACAAGTTCAACTCAATAAATTGCTTTCAGGGTTTGCATGTCAGTTTAATGTTGATTTTTATCTTCATATTACACTATATAAAATTAGCTTAGGACTAAGTCTAGTAAAATCTTGGCAATTATAGGACAAAATGCCTGACCGCCAGAGCAAAACCCAAAATTTGGAGTTACGCACTTAGGTTGCATGTATTCTGCATGGAGAGAGTGGGATTTTGCAGCAGGATAATTCCCCAAAAACCCTGCGTATTTTATTGTTGAAGCTGACACTAAGTTTCTAGATCTAGAACAGGAGAGAGCTTATGAACAGGGAAGAGTTCACTTCTGAGTCTAATGGTCTGGCGGAGCTGTGGAGCAAGTATGTTTGAACACGAACTTTTTTATACTTCTCAGAAGATATTAACCTGAACCTAATCTGCTGATGTTTAGATACTGAATTAAAACTACATCTATAGAATTTATCATTTATTTGAATTTTGAGTGCCTAATTGCAGAGCTTCATTAGGGTGTCTGTACCTACAGTGTGTCTCTATTCTCCCCTATTTTCTTTCCTGCCTTCTGAGATTTCTGTTACTGTCTATTACTAACTTGGAATATTTCAAAATTTACTTCTTTAGATGCCAAGTGTCAAATCCTTGCCACCTTATTTGTCTTTTTTTGTGTGTTTTTCATGGCACGTTTAACTTAGCATAGCTTCATCTGCACACAGAATGATCTTTGTGTAAGGTAGTGGGGAACCTTACTAAACTCACTGTCTGTGCTTTGTGACTTTCTTTTAAATAGTCCTAAACTGATGGAGAGCTTAAAATGCTCTTTTTCTTCAACCTCCTTTTTCCCTAATACGGCGTGCTTATTTAAAAGAAAAAAAATACGTCTAGTTTTTATACTGAGTAAAGAATGTTCCTTACCATCTTCTTGTGCTTAAGTAACTTAGCGTTATTGTTTTGTAACTTATTTTTATCTTAGAGTATAGAAAGTCCTGCTGGCACACTGCCTTTGTGCTGTTAAGACACACAAGATCTTAGGTCAGATTCCCTTGCAGTTAATTGCAAATAAATAGACTTTTATATCCAGACCCCCAAGCAAATTCAGCTATTTATACATGATTGTCACTGCGATGGCTTAACTGACCTTGTTTTTGTGTTGCTTGTTAAGAGTTCACAGTGAGTTGGGATTTGAGTATGTTTGTGTTGCTGCACAAAATCCTGAGACTAATTCGGCTACGTGGCTGTTCTGAGACCAAAATGGCTCTTTGAGTGGTGAATTTGGGAGGCTGATGAAAAGCGGAGTTGGTAGAGGGTGCATGAGTAGGGGAGGGAGAGTAACGTGAAAGATTGGATCTCTAAAGACAATGGCATTTCAGAAAAGGACCAAATCACAAAAATACAATGTTTATCATTAACAGAATGATAAATGGCTGAAAAACACCACAAGCTGTATTTATGCAGCTTTAGCTGGAATAGGCCATGTGTGTCAAAACACTGTATGTGACTGTAAAAAATGCATATCTATAAGGATAAAATAATGGATAATGCTTTAGGGGCTCTTCAGACCGTCAGGCCTGAAAGCGGCTTCAAAATTCCTATCCTTTTGGAGATAATCTTCAAGCAAAGTTATGCCTTATAATTCACTATTTATTGTGAAAATTTCTTTGTGTGTGTACCTAATTAAAAGGCAAGATTTATTTCCTTGTCTTTTTTCCACGTAATTAGCCTAGTCTCTTGGGTATTGTATGCGTAAAGTATCATTTGTGTGTCATTTGAAACTTTAAAAAGTAAAATTTAAAAAATGTTTTGCTGTTGCCAGAAAGGATTTGATGTGTTCAATGCACTAGACTTAATGGAAAACAAAACATTCCTGGAAAAACTCAAGTTTGGGATTGGAGATGGAAATTTGCAGTATTATTTGTACAACTGGAGGTGTCCTGGCATGGAATCCGAAAAGGTAAGGGAGAAAAAAAGAGCTTCTGAATTCTGTTAGGTATAATGGTACATTAATCTACACTGGCCAAAATGGGCAGAAGTTGTTTTAAAATAACTTTTTTAATTGGTCATATTTAAGATCTATAATTGAGGTGCAGAAAACTAATGATGTTCAGATGTATTGCCATACTTGAATTAAAATACTGTATTTTTCTTCTTCCTTTAGGTTGGTCTTGTATTACAATGAGGACACTTATGTTTCTAGAACTCTGAGGTCATCGTTTGGGTTAATTTGATCTCCATAACTCTTGGAACGGTATTGTTCAAGAGGAGTAAAAGCACAACGTCAGTGATACTGAAATAGTCCATTAAACCTGAACAATGAAGACATCCATATGTGACCAAATTTGTGCATTTTCAGATAGATCAGAAGGTCCATGAAACTCTTTTATTGTCCATGAAAAGAATAAAAGCACATTCATTTAAGTTTCAAAGCTTAGCTTGCACCTTGATGAGAAGAAGGTATTTTTTTTCCACTCTGTAGAAAAGACTGTTTTGTACAAACTGAACTTCAGTGGTGGATTAGGGTACAAAAATATTTGCTATTATGTGGATGAACTGCTGCATTTCTATTTATTAAGTGGTGGTGTATGTTTGTCAGTGTAACAGAATGAAGGATACAAACTTGAGTATCTTTGCTTATTTACTTCACGTGGATATCATCGTTTGGGGAAAATCATGAAGTACGATACGTTTGTAGCTCTATGAAAGTCCTGGATGTTTTTGTAACTGGAGCAGTATGACAATGTACTGGTTTAACTAGTGCATTTCTTTCTCCATAAGTTAACGCTGCCAAATCAATAAAAATACAGATTTGTACTTTGATCTTCAATAGATCAGTGGATTGATTTAACAGTATCGCACTGTTCAGTGCAGGTGTTATCTATGTTGCCGGAATGATAATACATTACTGTACTTGATTTACAGTTGTGGCACAAAACCTTAGTTTTTCCTCAGTAGACTAACATCAGGCTGTGTGTAAAACTAAGAATTTTAGTAGTGCTATCAGGATATTTATAGTTTGAATGTTTTCGACGCTTCTGCGAAATTGCACATATTCCTTTGTCTACTTTGATTTCCTATGAAGTCTGTAATTCTAATGAAAAGTATCTTGTGTAAATACGTATTCATAAATTGTTCCTGGTAGTGTTTTTATCCTGACTTTGGAACAAGAAGTTTTGCTATATATGTGGCTGGTAAGGAGAAGATAAATGCTCTACCCTCAGTCCTTGGAAGTCTGTGTACTGCGCTTCCTGAATTGTAGGAGGGCTGATCTTTGTTGCTGGGGGAACTGTTTTAATTCCCTCATGAATGCTCAGCAACCAGAGCGGCTTCTGAAGCACTTTATATGCATTCCAGCGTAGTGTCATAGCTAGATATGATAGCAGTTCTTTTAGCTCACGGATGCTGCAGTAACGTGAGCACCGAGAAAATCTGCAGTAAGAAACTGTTCTAGCTGAAAGTGCCAAATTGTGGTAGCGGAGCCTCTGTGCCGTGAGCATCTTTTGAATGTGTCTTGAATATCTCATGAAACGCAAATGTCTAAACTTTCCTTTTAAACATGCCTGTAATTCTGACAGCAGATTTTGCTGAAAGTTGAATTCTGTACCTGAAAACATCAATTTAGACAAAGATAAATTTGTCTGTTCTTCACAACTGCTAGCCCTACCCAGCTTCTTAGAGCAGTGCCGTTTTTCTTCCCCCTCCTTTTCCAATGTGTGAATGGTTTGTGGTTTGGTTTCTTTTTCTTGTTGAATTGTGGTGAGAGGATTCTGCCCTAGAGACAGTGATAAATACTTTCCCTTATTGCGTTACAGCTCTGTGATTAAAGCATTGGACCTCCTTCGAACAAGGGAAGGGATTGAACGTGGTTTGTCTGACCCCTGGGTGTGCACCAGCTCGGGACCTCATGAATTTAAAAGGGCTTCAGAGGAGATCTTTCAGACATCTAATGGTGCAGTTGGGCTTTACAACTTTGGCCCCTCTGATACCTGTCTGCTGATAGCAGTCATAACAGATGGTGCAGAGGGAGCTTGGACTCCCTGTGTGAGGCCTGAGCAGAATTAAGTGCCTGAAAATGTAATCGATGGTAGTGATATCTGAGGTAGCAAGAAGGATTTAATCTCAACTCCATTGAAGACTTAAGTTCTTAACTCCCAAAAGGCAGGAAGGTGCCTTCCTGGCTGGGCATTCGCATTGGAGCCCGCTGGGATGAGGAGGAGGTTCACCAAGGGGCTCGATGCATTCTGCTTCGGCTCTAAAGCCAGAGCCTCGGCAATCCTCGCTCAGCTGCTGCCTGAGGTGGGCAGCAGGGCATAGCTCTGTCCTCATGGCTAAGGTACTTCCTTGCTAAGAAATGATCACGGCCCAGCTCTCCCTAATCCGCGTGGGTGGTCTTGAATGCCAGGTGAAAGATATGCTCATGTTCTCTGCCTTCCCTCCCCTCAAAATAATGCAAGTGGAAGAAATGGTAGGCAGACATTTTCTGTTCTCTCTTCCCTGAAATCAGAAGGCAAATCCTCCCCAGTACTGGGAAGGATTTATTGTTTGGAAAAGCGTTGAGGCCATGATGGGACACATATGTCCAGGTAGAAGACAGACTTGAACCTGAGTTTCCTGCAGCCTGGCTTTCTGCCCTAATCTTGGGGTAACTGCACATGAAGGTAGGAGTGTGGCCACTCTTGTGCTGTCTTCTGAGTCTGAGGGGTAAACTCCTCTGTCTTGTTTTCTGGCTCATGCTGCATGTTAACTGAGGGGAAGGAGGGCAGAATCGTGCGCCTGTGTAAGCTGTGCAGCGCTGTAGCTGAGAGAGAAAACTTCTAGGGCCAGAGAGCACGAGGGAAGCGGGCATCTGAGCCTAAGTGTTGGGGCAGTTCCTGGAGAGTCCTGTTCATGAACTTGTGTGTGTTACCTAACAGCTGTGTAATCCAGCATGGTCTCTCCTGTCCCTATTGAGTGCCCAAATCTTTTGGCTGGCCATGCTCTTCACCTCAAGTCCTTTGCTGAAGTATTAAACATCAAGGGGATATGAATCTTGAAGGTGTCCCAGCCTGCACTCACGCAATTAGGACAGTTGCTCAGGAGGTGGAAAGGTGGCAACTCACTTGTGCTTCCTAAGCAGGTACTTAACGAAAGGGTATTATCAGTGTGAGTGCCTCTGTCAGCAGCTCAACAGGAGAGGCTCTTCTGTTGTTTCCAAAGTTGAACATGTGTGTGCATTAGCTGCTATGAACAGCTACCAGGTAAGACTCCTCAAAACCTAGTAGATGGTTTCACAAAGATTGGCAAACTTAAGGCTCATTCCACCATCTTTCCCACCAGTCTTCTGAAACATCTTCTGTAATTTCTTTCCTAGAATAACTTTCTGTCTGCAGAGGGGACACAAATCCCTGAAGACAGCTATATTCCCTGCTATAGACCTGGGCAGGCAACAGAGTGCTTGAAAGATGATTGCTGCGCTTTTGTTCTTTACCAAAGCTAATCCTCATGCTCTGTTTAAAGATTTAAATATTACAGTTAGCCAGCATGAGAACTAGTTCTAGTATGCCTTCAAAATTTTATGCATCCAAAAAGCCAAAGCATATGATATGTATGAAGGACTGCGAAGCGAGTCAAAAAACTTTCATCTCCCTTCTTGCCACCCTCAGCCAGGGAGGGGAAAAATTTTAGCAGTAAATGTCTTTGTTTTGTTTAAACTTCAGGGAGCATCATGACTACGGAATCACTGCTACTGCCTCCCTTTGTAGTTGGTATCATGAACTAAAGTCACTTCTAAATAAATCCAAAACACAAATTAGCTAGCTGATAGCACTAAAAGTCTGGATTAGCAAATCTCTGAAAACTACAACATGTAAATTCCATCTTTAAGGAATGACAGAGTAACTCAGTTAAGGTGTTTTACGCTTTCTTCTACAGTACCTTACTGACTTTTACTTAAAATATAGAGCGCCAAGTAAATTCCTAGACTGTTGATTTTGTCTGAATTGCAGCACTATTTGTATCAGAAATAGTGTGGCCAGCAGGAGTAGGGAAGTGATCGTGCCCCTGTACTCGGCCCTGGTGAGGCCGCACCTCAAATACTGTGTTCAGTTTTGGGCCCCTCACTACAAGAAGGACATTGAGGTGCTGGAGCGTGTCCAGAGAAGGGCAACGAAGCTGGTGAAGGGTCTAGAGACCTGTGAGGAGCGGCTGAGGGAACTGGGGCTGTTTAGTCTGGAGAAGAGGAGGCTGAGGGGAGACCTTACCACTTTCTACAACTACCTGAAAGGAGGTTGTAGCGAGGCAGGTGTTGGTCTCTTCCCCCAAGTGACAAGCGATGGGACAAGAGGGAATGGCCTCAAGTTGCACCACGGAAGGTTTATATTGGATATTAGGAAAGATTTCTTCACTGAAAGGGTTGTCAAGCATTGGAACAGGCTGCCCAGGGAAGAGGTTGAGTCACCATTCCTGGGGGTATTTAAGACGTGTAGCTGCGGTGCCTAGGGACATGGTTTAGTGGTGGACCTGGCAGTGTTAGGTTAACAGTTGGACTCGATGACCTAAAAGGTCCTTTCCAACCTAAATGAACCTATGATTCTATTCCCTGTTTGTAGTCCCCAGTAAAACTAAAGGAAACTCAAAAGTTTTCAGTCTTGCCGTGGTTATAGCTGTCATCTACTTTACATACAACAGTACACGGCTTATCTCAACTTCCTGGGAAATAATTTTAGACTCCATTTAGAAACCAAATTGAGTTCAGGTTAGTTTACATTTTCTCACAGGTTGTGTGTGTTAATAGTTTGCATACAGAAGTCTTTTTTTTTCAAAATGCAGCAGCAGTAATTTGGTTTTGTTCTGTATTTGAAAATAAAAGTTTTTCCTTCAGCAGATCAGACACCAGGGATTAGATGGAACCCAAGTCTGCATACATTCTTGACCAAAACAAATTTATTGTTCAGCAGAGCAAAGTATCGAAGTTCAAAAGGAAAGTCTGCCTGTGCTGTTACAGCCATTTACGTGAAACAAGCATTGAACTAGCTTTAAAAGAGTTATACCAGCACAAACCGTTGTTTAAATAAACTTTCACTTTTGGTATTGATTTGTTTGAATAATTATACTTAACTCAAATCCATTTTGCTTGAAGCATGTTCATCTGTATAAAAATAGAAAGTTTGTTTAATGCTGTGCATTCATTCCAAAGATGTACTTATTATGTCTTAAATTACTTCAGCGTATTTATTAGTGATTTTAACTCTGTGATCTCCAGCTGCAAATGAAATATTTACCCCTAAGGAAAGACTCACACACAAGTTTGAGCAATATTCTTTATTACAGCAGAAAGTACCTCAACTGAGTGCAACATAAAGTTCATCTTGTATTCAAGTGCTTTACACTGTGAAGCCTATCAAAATAGTTCAGTTAGAGCTGTACTCCATACTGCATTAAAAAAATCAGTTTAATATGAAGAACCAAACTAAAATCAGTTATGCTGAAAAAGCTTTTTTCTTTTTGCGAGGTGGTTTCTTTATCTTATTTGGATTTGGAACAAGTTTCTTGATTTTCAAAGGCTGCAAAATTACATTTGAAAGATCGAGCTGATTGCTTTCTGTACGCTTCCGCTTCTTGCTTGTGAGCTCATCCCCTGACGCCTCTGCAAGCTGCTCGGGTTCCTGATTTTCTGAAGCATCTGTACATGCATAAGTCACAGATTCTTCAGTTCTGTACTGAAACCATGGTACTTCCAAAGCTGGTATCTTTGGAATTATTGCTTCTATTGCTTCTGCAAATTTATCAGACTGCTTTTTAAAGCCGAGTGCTAAAATGGATGTTAGGCCAAGAAGTGGTGCAACTGTTTCACTGAGACGGGGAACCTGGCCTGCTGGTGTGGCTCGACTTGCACTCAGCTGAATAAGATGTGATGTGATCATGGCAGGTTTTGCAGACTTGCACACTAGCAAGAGAAGAAGTTCATTTTTTTCCAATGCTTTTGTGACTTCATTAATTCCAATAGCAAGCTGTCTTCTGATACTTATGTCAGTCCATCCTGGTTTTTGCTGATGGCCTTCTATTTCCTCTTCTTTAGGGAGTTCACTGGTGCTAGCATCACACTTTCTTTCCATTCGTTTTTTTGTAAGGGAATGTTTTTTCTTCCTTGGAGTCTCAATCTTTTTAAGTCCAATATGTTTAATCCTTTCTTCTAAGGTCTGTAGTATAAAATGCATATCTTCTCCATCTATGGTTTTCCATTGAAAAACAAAGGGGTTATCTAGACATGTTTTTACAGTGATTTTCTTTGCTTTACGAAGTGTTGCCGTCCCTTGCTGAATTACAGACATCCTGAGGTTCTTTTGTGTTTTGCCACCTTAGCTGTG